GGTCTGCTGTCCGCGAAAAGTTTTAAGATGGGTCTTCATCTTCTCTGGGTGGGTATTATAGACGTTTTCCGTTACTGTCGTTTCCTTGTATAGTAGTTCCCAGTATTCTACGCCCGGAATGCTCCACCAGATGCGCCACATCACCTCTCTCCCGCGGAGGTTGGATTTGGCACGTTTCCTACCTCTCCGACTTCGTCAACCCAATAGGCACGGCAGTGCATGTTGAGGAATCCAATTCTCATCTCTAGTGAGTTGACAAGCTTGTCCAGCCGCGCATGCGTGCCTCAATGAGCGGGATACCCACCTACCCAATATTAGGACTTTACCGATAGAGATCAACCGATGAAGAACGTTCGTGTGGGAGGCACTAAGACTGCTGACAGCTGAGGAGTAGTTTGACCTCCTCCACTTCCTCAGCGATCGACTGACTGTTATTGTTTAGTAACTGCTGTTTAACGCCGCAGTGCGCGATCCGAAAGCTATCACAAGAATGCTGAGTCATCACGTTGAACGTGTGAGTGCTCGAAGGCAATGGCACAAATAGCCATTGAGCTGAGTGGTCAAAAGTGGCCCCGGTAGCGTAATAGGGAACGCAACTGCCCGGTAAGCAGAAGATGCGGGTTCGAATCCCGTCCGTGGTCCGACTTTTGCCCATAACTCAGCATTCTTGTGATCGACTGACTACCCACTTGCAAACTAATAACTCTATTCTATGAACCGTTAAATTGATGTGCTGGTTTGTATGCCGGTTGGCCATCTTGTCTGTGGCGATATGCATGCCTGTCTGTTCGCAAAATGACACTAATGGGATAGTAAAATTGATGGCAAAAATCGACTTCCAGGCAAAGTAGGAGCCAGTCGTATTACAGTATATTGACTGCGAAAATGCCTCCCTTGACCATGAAAGACTCCCCTGCGATAATTCACCCTACCACGTGGCCGCTCCCAAGACCTGGCCAGACACGAATGGCGCACGGCATACTGCAGATGATTTCGAAAGAACATCTCGAAATCGTTAGTTTTTAGCCAACAACCTAAGGAAAAATGGTTGATGCCGAAAATTTAGATGTGGTTTTCAGTGTGAAGTTGGTAAAGAAGGAAATGTGAGTAGAGTCGTCCTCAAAGCTGATTTCATCTGTCTGGATTGTGCTTTATACTGATTCTGTTTTCGCTTCAGTATAGAGGGAATTTTTACTGAAATCAGTTCAGATCAATCTCTGCACTTATCAGTCCTTCGAAACTGATAGACTTATTCCGAACTAAACTTTATGGAACTGTTTATAGAGTCGGTTGTTTTCCCTGACCCACACACTAGTGGACGTGAACTAATCCACCGAGGAGGTTAGCACGTCACTGAAGCTCGCGTCATAATTGGATCCATTGAATGAATTTTACATGAATAAATAATTATCACGATAGTTCAGAATATTTGACAGAATACCCTTCTTATGTGATGGGAGAAAGTGGGCAAAGTAGATTTCACCTTGAGAAAAATTTCATTGGTAAAAAAAGTTTCACTGGAAAAACTCGACACAAGTTCAGTATGGTGGCACTCCGATCGAATGCTGGGTGAATCCACACTCGAGGGAAAGTATGGAAGAGTACATCGAGAGCTATTGCTGGATACAGAACACCTATTGGGTTCCGATGTACGAGAATATCCCAGACGACCACACAGCTCGAGAAGGTTGGTTCCATTAGTTGTGCTGAAACAGTTGTATATGTAGATGCATTTGTAAACAAGTGCTACGGTACAAATACTATCGAAGCTATAAAAATAACCTCTTTCCGAAGCTATGGGATGCGGCATCTGTTTAAAGGCACGGGTCGCGATAAACTAAGCCTAGAACCTCATAAACGTGCATGCTCAAGCAGGCAACAGCAGAGGCTATACTGCATTCAAAAGTGGAAAACTAGCAAGCAAAGGGCAGGGCGCTCAGGTTTTAGGCCCATGGGCGCCCAATAGGCCCAT